GGTTTGTTGCTTTGCCTTCCCCCAGGCCAAGAGGGAGGCCCCACACTCCAGGAAGGGGGCCTGCAGGCACCCCCAGAAGGCATGGGAACTGCTCTCATGGACGCTTAGCTAGTGACCTGGAGACCACGTTTGGACCCCAGCAGCTTCTGGGACCCTATGGGAGGCACCAGATTCTACAATTAAAGATAAAAAATATCTCTATTTTGTGGAATTTTAAAAAACACACAGACTTCTCATTAACCCATGTGTGAATTTAGAACCAAAACGGAAGTGAGAGAATGCTTTTGCTGAATGATAATGTAAATATTACACATCAAACCTATGAAATGGACAATTAAGAACCATGAATGTATATATTAGAAACGCATAACGCAAGCACAAAGAAGCAGCCAACGTGTCCCTCAGGGGCTGCCTGAATAAAGATGTGGTCACATATACCATAGAATACTACTCGGCCGTAAAAAGAAGACGAAGTGCTGCCATCCCATCACAACGTGGGATGGATCTGGAGAGTTCACGCTAAGTGAGATAAGTCGGACAGAAAAAGACAAGAACCCTATGATTTCACTCATATGTGTGTGAAACCTGCAACTCTGACCTGTCGTGTATATTAAATACATTGATTTAAAATGTTCCTGCAAAGTGAACTTGGAGTCAGGAAAGCTTCACTGGTAAGTGCTTCTGAACACTTATGCATGTATGAAATACACACACACACACACACACACACACACACACGGACATACACATAGACATGCACAGACATACATGCAGGCGTGGACTTACACATAGACATGCACACACATACACACACACTACAAAAGTCACACAAGCTTCTCCTGAAACAGAGAAGGAAGGCATACCCGTCCAACACAGTTTATCAGACTAGAAATAAATTGATAAGAAATTCAAACAAGAAAACTGCAAACTGGGAACGTGACAGGAAGCCCTCTCACATGAACTTAGGTATAGAGTTCTCAACAAAATACTCAAACAAAAGCATGCAACCGACTGAAGATCCTTAAAGGGAAGGGTGGGGGGTGGGGGGGAGAAGAGATCAATCAAAGCACTTATATGCATATATGCATAACCCACGGACACAGACGGTAATGGGGTAAAGGCCTGGAGAGGGGACCGAGGCAGGGAGGCAGGGGTCACTGGGGTAAAAGGGGGACATCTGTAATACTTTCAACAATAAAGATAAATTGAATAACTAACTAAATAAAATGACCTAAAAAATAAGACCTATGTATTTTTAAACAAGATTCATCAATACATAAAGTGGATAATCTAGCATGACTATGCAGGGGTGTGTTTTCAGGAAGGCATAGTGGGTTTCATATTTTAAAAAGTTAATCAATACAAGTCAAATATTAGAAGAAGAAATAGGCGGGGGAGGCCATATCAACAGAGGCAAAGTTTTGATAAAATACAGCACCGATTTATAATGGAAAACTCCTCAGAAATAAAAGAGAATTCTCTATCACTCATCAAAGCATCCTTAAAACTCTTCATAAAATAAATAATCCTTAAAATAAATGTTTAAAGGTGCACTAGGGATGGTCACCCACATGCACCCCTCCCCCTCACCTGAATCCTGAAGGTGCCAGGAGGTGGTTGAAATCATTTTGCCTGCAATGGATCCTGTGATAAGAATATTCACTATCTCTATTTCTATTCAGCACTGGAAGAGCCAACCAAATAAATAAAGTTGTTTTTTTTAAATGATAAAGACTGAATGGATGGAAGGGAACCTTGGGGAACTGACTGGGGGAAAAAAAAAGTGAAGGGATTAAGATGTACAAACTAGTAGTTACAAAACAGTCATGGGAATGTAAAGTACAGCATGGGGATACAGTCAATAATATTGTAATAACTATGTATACTGCCGGGTGGGTACTGGAAATATTGGAGGGGATCACTTTGTAAAGTATATAATTGTGTACCCACTACATTGTACACCTGAAGTTAATATAAAATAATATTGAATGTCAACAGTATTGAAAAAAAAGTTTAAGTCTTGGCTCCTGAAAAAAAAAAAAAGACTCAATGTATGTAATAAACTGTATTACTCACAGGATACAAATGTTGTGCATGGAAAATCAGAAATAGTATAAAGACCTATTATGGAAATAATAGTATAAAGACCTATTATAAAGGCCTTTTCTAATTAGGAAAAGGATTTATCCAACGTCACTAAATACATCATTAATAGATAAAAATCAATTGCATTGCAGACTTCCAGTTTTAGACCAAGAGGAAGGAGGCATGTGTCTCCCTAACAGGCCAGAAAGCAGAGTAAAAATCCTGGACGTTGCATATACATCCAATATAACAATATTCCAAAAACTAGAGAGAAGACAGCAGAAATGCTAAGGCTATTAAGGCCCCAAGAGTGACACCATTGGTGTCAAAGGAGGCAACGTCGGGAACCTGACTGGGTCCCTCCCACCTGGTAGCAACGAGTCAGTAGCCCAGCCACGTGTCAGAAAATGCCTTCAATAGCAGAAGATCCAGGACCTCATCACATAGTACCCAACATGTCCAGGTTTCAATTTTTTAAAAAATCACTCTCCATAATGAGAACCAAGAACATCTCAACTTGAGTGAGAAAAGACCATTGGTAACACCCAGCTGACACAGACATTGGAACTGGCTGACAAGGATTGTACATCAGTCATAATAAAAGTGTGTTGATGAGCAATCACAAACATGCTTAAAATAAATCTAAGAAATGGGAAGTCTCAGCAAAGAAATAGAGAATCTGTGACCTCTGGCTCATAGGCCAATGCTCAACCATTGAGCCACACCAGCCAGGTGGGGGCTAAATGCCATTTAGAAAGTTGCTCTTGAGGTCCCACTGGTTCCCAGGAGCAACTCGATGACTGACAGGAAGACATCCAGGGTCTTTGCAACTGGAACTAGCTCTGAGGAGGGTATTGTCATTCCCATGTTGTCACCAGGTAGCCATCCAGTGTCCGATAAGAGAGGTAAACCTGGGGCCATAAACAGAGGTTCTGGAGCAGGGGTGGGCAAACTATTTGACTCGAGGGCCACT